AAAACTAATTCTAGGTGCACCCTCCAACAGTCCACTTGACCCAGGTGGAAAAGTGGGGTTTTATGTTACAGAAGTGCCCAGACATAGATTTGAGGGCTTTTTAAAACAAGCAAAGTGCATTGTTTCAGCACTGCTCTTTCTAATGATGTTTTCTCCTCTGTGATCAAGAGAATCCCGTAGGGATATGATACATGGCACTGTATAGAAGGGGTCACTCTAGATCACGTTCAGTGGGAGTGAAGCAGTGCCTGATTCCACAAACTACTACTTTTTTTTTTTTTTAATGGGACTGTCTTTACCAGAAAGACATACAAGCCCTTTTATTTCCCTCTTGGTAGGAATTGGAAGGAAAATAGCTCACCATTTCAAGGATGGAAAATATTACTCTGATAAGGAGGAGTCACTGAACTTTAGGTAAATTCAGACTGGGACACTTTATATTTTTTGGTTAATTTAAGTAACAAAACCTTTTTTTTTTGTAACTGCACTTGATTTACAAGAAAGACGAGGGAAATGAACATCTACCAAAGATGATCGCTTAAAAAAGGTATAACTCCTAGAACCTAAAAAAAAAAGAAGAGTGAAAAGTAGTAGAAGCATTGAAAAACTTCCTGTAATAATGTGCGTGGACCCATTGTGCTTTAAATTGGCCAACTCTGAAGATTTCATGAAAAAAAAAAAGCATTTTGTACCTGTAGATACGGGATAGTATTTGACTATATGGAACGTTTCCCTGTCGCACCTCGGTCACGACTTGCCGTGTCTCTGAGATGACAGCCTCACATCGCAGTTCTGCCAGTGTTAATCTAGCTAATGTTCAGTCTTCCTTACCTGCCCGATCTGCAACAGGTACTTGAATTTGTTTCCTGACAGAGGTTCTTTGGTTCCTTGGTTTATTTTTTCAATGGCAATGTGACTTGCACACGAAGGAATTGGACTCGCTACCAGTGGGGAGTGCTGGGAGCTGTGACTGTGGAGCAAGTTCCACTGCTCAAGAGGACTCAGGACTTGAGCTGTGATGATTATTTTTACTCTTCTCTGCTCCATACCCCTCTCTAGAGCGACAGTCAAGGAGTGGAAATGTTTGAACACTTGCGCCAGATTATTTCCCCCCCTAAGGAATTGGAACTGATTTGCGTGACTGAATAACGTCCTGTTTTGTCTCCAGAATGCTTGTAATATTTTTCACAGCGAAGCTTGTCAGACTTGCTTTGGGTTTTGTTAGCTTTGCTGTACAACTGTTACAGATCTTTTGGGGTTGGTTTTTTTTTTTTTTTTAGTTTTCTTTTTAAGCAGGATTTAGCGTTTTTGAACAACCCTCTTGCAGTTGAAACATGTCGCTTATCTGCCTTGAAACTGTTTTCACATATGCCTTTGTTTCGGGAATAAGCTGTTTCGAATGTCTGTCCTGTGCTGTAACGCGTGCTACAGTTTGCTGTGTGGAATTTGGTCCTTTCGAGAGATAACTGGTGCTCATCACATCTTGGTCATTTCCCTAGACTAACGCTAGCTCTGGTCTGGATTCGGAATGTGGGCTTGGGGTTTTTTTTTTATCTTCATACCCACGTTCGTGATGTGAATCCCATAGGTCTCAACTTTGAAGGGGACAAAAGGGAGCTCAAGTTTCAGCCCATGAGAGTGCACTGTAAATAGAGTCTTTAAGAAATCAAGAATCAATATTAGGGGTCATAATGGGATATGAATCTTTGTATTCATTCATGGGTCATTCCCTTTGACATGGGACAAATTTCTTCTGCCACCGTAGTCCAGTCCCTGTTGTGTGTGATGTGGGGGCTAACACACCACTGTCTGGGAGGCTGAAGAGTCTCATGTCTTAAGGTGTGTAGCTGGAAAAGCCACAAAACAAATGCAGCTCTGAGAATATGTTACAAAAGGGAGGACTTGGAGGGTATCATCAGCTTAGTTTTGTGGGCATTATACTGGTTGCTTTTCTCTTAAACAATAAGCACTTAAGTTTACTATCAATTAGAAATTAAATACCAATCGCTTTTTATTCTTGACAGTTTTAAAAATCTGCATTGAATCTGCAGCTTTGGCCTGGTAAGTTTGCCATTCTCCTTTGGGGAAACTAGCTTGTACCTTTTAAACTGTTTATCTTTAAATCATGTTATTAAAAAAAAAAAAAAAAAAGACGAGAAAAAAGGGGGAGGAAGAGAGAAGGAAATTAGTGAAGTGCAGACATCCTGCAATGAGACACTACAAAACAAACAACCCAAAGAAAGTAGGAGAATGAAGCTTGCATAGCTAGGAGCAACAGTCTCATTCACTGAATTTCATAAACAGGAATGAAATTAAAATGCAGTTAGTTCCTGCAGCAATCTTTACAGCAGTCACGATGCTAAGGGCTGAAAAGCAGTTAGCTGTATTTTCTTATTCCACTCCAAACCAACTCCAGCTAGAATTAAATTGGCTGTCTCTGGCTCAAGTGTTACAAAAAGCCCCATAAACTCTCCTCGCTTTAGCACTTCCCCAATTCTGCCACTTCTGTCAAGTTGCCATACTGTGTGTATTAAAGTAATTAAATGCAATTTTCTCACTTAACGGTGTATTACCCAGGTATGTAACTTTGTTTAACATAAGCATTTTGTATATTGTTTACATTTTGAGAGGTAGCATTACGTTAAAAATGCTAATTTTTGTTTCTAGACAGTATTTTTATTACCAGAATAAGAAGTGAAGCTGCAAATATTTGATTTGTTTTTAAAAGGGACTTTTTCTTTTTTTTGTTGTTGTTTTGATTTTTTTTTTTTTAATCATGTTTTAGGTCACTTTTTTAAACTCAAGTATTTAAAAGGAAAACCCAGCCCTTTCAATTCTGGTTTTACAACTGCTTGTGCTAGTTCGTTGAATGTTCCTGGTGTGAATTTAGTTCTAGTTTGCTGAATGTAGATATTTCTGTCTGTAGCATGTACCCTGCAGAACACCTTACACTGAAGTGCATTTGACTGAAAACCACCCTGGGCTGGAAGAGTTGCAGTAGGTAGGCAGATCGCTCAGATCCTGGTCAGAGTGTGTGATTTTTCAGGAAATTGCAGTGCAATTTTTTTCGGTCAACTAGAGTTTCAAAAAAGAAACAGTGCAGTGTCTCTCTGCGTTGCCCGAAGGCAGGGTGAGTTTGTGTGAGAAGCAAGCTGCAGATCTGTATTTCTGCCTGTCCTGAGGGTCTCTCTCTTTCTGAACACGGGCCTCATCTGTCAAAATTTAAGAACTAAGAACTGCTTTGAACCTAGAATTTACATCTTCCCTGTTGAGCTAGCTCCTACAGCGTACATAAGAGTGGGAGAAGTCACGGTTTGGGTGCTGTTCTGCTCCGATAGTGCAATAAAAACCATTCCAGAAGACGTTGGGTCACCCTTTGGTAGGACCCAGGTGTTCTGGAGGTACCAGGCAGCGCCCGCCCTTGGTGTCAGCGCGAGGAGGAGAGCCTGGTGTTTGCTGTGTGTAAGAATGTCAGCAGGAGTTCCCTTCTCACAGCGAGGAGCAGTGAGATCCTTCCCTCTGGTCTCGTACGTGCCTCTGATTGACCTGGTTTAATTATAAAAGCCGTGATCATGGAATTCATCCCAGGGAGAACTTCTGGGGTAGTAGGTGACTCCAGATTTCCTGCAGAAGTGGGGCTGTACTCCCACAGCCAGGAATCCTGGGTTTGAATTGGATTATCGTGATCGGCAAGAACACTGAAACACTTGAGTCTTAGGAAGCTTTTCTGGGAGGAAGCTCCTGCTTTCCTCTCCAGAGCGCTGCCACAGCTACCTTCAGTGGGGATGTCAGCTGGGGACTCGCCTTTTGGCCCAAGGAAGGGCACAGAGCAAGGTTGTGTTGTAGTTAAGGGCTGCGTTTGGTGGGGTTGTGTCTCAGCCTCAACGGACGGATGCCTGCCAGTCCTGTGGCTACCATGCAGTCTTTCTAGATGCCTCCCTTTGAGCTGCACAAAGTGCTGAACCTCGAGGTGGTACAAACCTTTCAGAAATCGGTGTGGGTGTCCTCAACTTGGTTGAGCGATCTGAGACAGATCGTCCTTAAAATAGCTCCAAAAACAAAACAGCCATCCTCTCCCCATCTGTGTCTTAATGCCCCGTTTCAGGTTTGCCCGTCAACTTCCCCCACTCCTGCAGAGCCGTTCTCCGGTATCCGTATTAGCCACTACTGATTTTCCTTGCTCTTTGAAACGAGTATCTTGTGTAATAGTGATGGCAAAGCTCGGGGAGCCCACTGCTGGTCATCCATCATTTTTAGTGGTTTTGGTTTTCCCCACTCAGCCGTTGTGCGGGTCTTTGTTCAGCTGCACAATGCTGAACGCAGCTGGAGGGAGATGTGTCAAGCGAGCGTATTACACACAGGTCACAAGGGTGGGCAGGGCTAATCAGTGCAACTGAGAAAATGTGAATAAATTAAGTTTAATCTAAAACTAAAAAAAAAAAGAAAAGCATTCTAGGTTTTTTCACTGCTGTTTTTTAAATAGGAATTTTAAGTCCTCTGTGCTTGTCTGTTTGCTAGGAGCAGTTTGAGACACTGTTACTGTTTTGAAATGCATGCATGTTACAAGATGAGTCTCCAACCAGAGAAAAATAAAATTAAAACTTTGTGTACATCCGTTCCTTACTGCTGTCCTCTTTAAAGTGCTCTCGTGATCAGCTGTCAGTCCATGAGGTATGTGGTCATTTTCAGTCCTAGATTAACCACCACTGGAAAAGTCTTTTTATACATGCCTGTAAAATGGGGAGGGGGGGTAAGTAAGAACTGATTTTACCAAGTCCTGGATATGGGAACAAATCAGATTTATCAGGAAAAGGGAATGCTGCTGACTCCCTGGGGTGCAGCTGAGGCTCAGTCACTCCCATCTGGGTGTATGGAGGGGGATTAGTATAGGTGGCTCAGAGCAAGGTAAGCCCTGCTACTGGGTAAAACCCAAGATCTTTCTGATGGCTTTAGAGATGAGAACTTAATCCTAGCGTTCAGACTCAAGAAAAGGAAAGTTGACTACAATAGACAGTTTTATTTAAAAAAGTTGCAGGCAGACTGGGATGCGAAACACACAAGCAGATGTGCTGGGCTAGTCCATGCGAGCTTTCAGGGTCCTGGTGGTGATCTTGTCTTTTTCACTAGAGGGAGAAACAGAGAAGACTATTAGTAACTCTGCATTTAATACCTACAGACAGGCTGTCCCTTCCTTAGGAAGCTGTAGGGTGCACGGGTGCTTTGTTTGCCAGTGCAGGCAGGACCATCTGAACGTGGAGGTGGCTGTTACAGCCAAGTAAACCCCATCGTCCTGCTGCTTCACCCCAGGGGGGCTCCTGTAGTGCCTGGGATACTGTGGGGAAACAGCACCACGAGCAAAATAAGCTGCTTGTGTCACTCTGATTGCAGAGTCTGGAAATTAACGTCATACCCAGCTGTGGCAAAGAGCATCCTCTTGGCCAGTGCTACCCCTATGTGAGGAGTCACGCTCCTAAATTCCGATGGGAATGCAGCCAGGGAATCCCTGTGCAGCAAGAGTCTGAGTCAAGGATTAATTTCCCATGGCTCCTGCAGTTCTAGCAACAGCCACAGACTGCAACAGAGAGCAGCCATGAGAAATAAAACACTGAGAAGGGACAAAACATTGCTCGGGATGCTGCTGGAAGGGGCAGGATGAGGGATGCCCTGGGAGCCCATGCCTTAACTGACTTTAACACGCAGCTTGTTAAATTCTACCTCTGTTCTGCAGGGGAAGAGAGCAGCACTTACATGATGTGTACTACCACGCCCATTCCAGATATGGCGTCTCTGTCCACTGCATTCAACATGGCCTGCGAGATTGTTTCAAAGAGGTGATCGGGTTCCTGAGGAACAGAAGCTATTTTAGTTGGTGTAAAAATTGAATGTTGAGTCATCAGACTTTGTTCAAACCCCAAAGTCTCATCCAAGACGCTGCACAATTTTTCCTGCAGGCTGCTGTAAGCTACAGCCTCTTTGTTCTCCTGAGCTCCTTGGGGAAGTACCAAAGGACAGAGCTGTTCGTCCAACCTGCGTATCTCAGGTTCTCCAGTTAACAGCAGGAGGCTGAATCCAAGAACCAGAGCTGAGCCTGGCCACCTCACTCACCATGTCGGGCTCCCAGAGGGACTCGCACATGCCGTACATCTGCTCGGAGCAGGTGCCGCTGACCACAAAGTCATCGGTTATCATCGGGCAGCCGATCAGGTCTAGGGAGCAGATGAAAGGTTCGTGTGTTATGGGATCCAGCCCAGCAATGACTGGTTCTGTGTAGTAAGGTCCAAACCTGTGAAGAAGAAAATGGCATAGAGCAGTCCAACCACCATGACGCAGTTCCACATCCCACGCAAATATCCATACGAGGAAAACATCCCAGCCCTGCTTCTGGTGGGGGACCTTTCAGGTCAACCTAGAAGCACCCTGCAATGCTTTTAGCACGGCAAACAGAACTAACTTGTCCTGCTTCAGGATTATTTTAACAATACCCTGTTGCAAGGAGGTTGAAGATAACATTGTCTCTAAAAGTCTCCTTTTGCCATACCACAAGTAGTCTTGACAGGAGCCCTCCTCAGCCTCCCACCTTTCTAGAATCAGATCAGCTCTAGCACCACAGCCTTTGCTGACACATGAACAGCGACTCCGTTGTTTGATAGTTACCGTCTCTCGTAGAGCAGATTGGAAACCATGCTCATAAAAGTCTGAGGTTTGATCTGCCTGCCTTCCTTCAGCTCATAGAGATTCAGCCTGAACTTCAGTCTCTGGGCACTGCAAGAGATGAGAATCGGCATTAAAGCAGAAGCAAGTTCCTTTTTCTTTCATGTTCACCCAACTCTGAACCGTTCCACTGCACGCTGACAGATACCAGCTCCTGATGTGTGCCTGAGGCAGGTGAGTATTCCAGATGCAGCTCCTTTATACCTGAAGTTATTAAGGCTTAGCAGTGATGTAATCTTAAATCACATGCAGCTTTATTTTAAAAAACCCCCAGTGAGGGGATACCACAAGGAGGAGAGCTGGCACCCAGCTATTCTATCTCCCCCACCCCCCCCACAAATAAGCAAAGCCCTTTACGCTCAGCCTAAGCTGCCACTTTGTATTTATTCTAAAAATGCCTCTTACAGGCTCAGTATGGGAAC